CAAAGCTCCACTGAAATCTCTAGACCTGTGTTGATTTACAGCAATATCATAGAATATCAGGGTTGGAAGGGACCTCAGAAGGTCATCTAGTCCAACCCCCTGCTCAAAGCAGGACCAATCCCCAATTTTTGCCCCAGATCCCTAAATGGCCCCCTCAAGGATTGAACTCACAACCCTGGGTTTAGCAGGCCAATACTCAAACCACTGAGCTATCCCTCCCCCCCCAAGAAATATCCAGCTCATAATATAGCATACAATGTCTCTGTTACTATTAACGTTATTTAATTTATGAAGTGAAAAACAAATTGTTTTATGATTTTTGGTATGCACAATTGATGCCTAAATGTATCTCTTATAGGATTATACATTATACTGCTGTTTTTATTTGCAACTGGTTTAATAAATGAAAACATTTATATACAGTTTTTGCAAGGCAGAGATCCTGTCTTGGAATTTCTAAATACTACAGATGACAATTTCCTAACTCAAAAAGTGTAGCATCAAACATGGGGGAATTCTGTATTTGACCTTGTCTTGACAGATAAAGAAGAACTGATTGGAGAACTAAAAATTAACGGTAACTTAGGTGCAAGTGATCATGACTTGACCATATTTATATGTACAAACAGAATAAAGTCCAGACCAGTGGTACACAGACTTAGCACTTTAAAAGGGACAGTTTTCTTTTAAAGCTGAAAATAATTGTGAGCCGTATCAGCTAGGAGGCCAAATTTAATCAGAAACATGTGAATGATAATTGAGAATTGTTTAAAAACACTTTATTAGATGCCCAAAAAGCCACAATCAAAGAAGAAGACTGACTTGATTTAAAAAAAAAGAAAGACTGATGTTAGAGGGAAAGTGAAGGCAGCTATAAAAATTACACACACACACCCCCAAATGGAAGATACGAGAAGTTGATGGTAATTAATATTAATCAGAAGTTAGAAAGTGTGGCAAATTGATAAGGGAAGAAAAAGGCCAGATTCTATGGGCAGCAGAGTTAAGGACAATAAGGAGGAGTTGTTAAGTATATTAGGAACAAACAGAATCCTAACAATGCTATTAGATATGGTAGAATTATCAATGATAATACAGAAAAGGCAGAAGTGTTAAATAAATATTTCTGTTCTTCATTTGCAGAAAAATAGATATATTCATATCATATAATAACAGTCCACTAGTATCTCAGGAAGGTGTTAACACATTTTTAAATAAGCAGATCTGGATAACTTGTATCCAAGAGTTTTAAAAATGCTGGATGAGGAGCTCTCTGGACCATTAATGTTGATTTTCAATAAGTCTTGGAATACTAGGGAACTTCCAGAAGACAGAAAGAACACTAGTGTTTTGTCAATATTTAAAATATGTGAATGGGATGACGATGGGTAATTGCAGTCCTGTCAGTTGGATGTTGATCCTGGACAAGATAATGGAGCAGTTTGATAAGGAAGTAGATTAATAAAGAATTAAAGGAGAATAATGTAATTAATGCCAATCAACAGGGGTTTATGGAAAATAGATCTGGTTAAAGTGGCTTGATAACTTTTTTGATGAGATTACAATTTTGATTGATAACGGTAATACTGCTGATGTAGTATCCTTAGACTTTGGTAAAGCATTTGACTTGACCACACAGCATTCTGATTTTAAAAAATAGAAAGATATAGAATTAAAACAGCACACATTAAATGGATTAAAAGCTGGCTAACCGATAGGTCTCAAAATGTAATTATAACGGGGAATCATTATCAAACAATTATGGTTTTTCTAGTAGGGTCCCACAGGGATTCGTTCTTTGTCCTACACTATTTAATATATTTATCAATGACTTGGAAGAAAACATAAAATCATCACTGATAAACTTTGCAGACAAGAAAAAAATTGGGAGAATGGTAAAGGATTAAGAGGATAGTCAGAGGTGAAAGTAAGCTGGTATGATCCAGTATGGCGTACCTGTAAGAAAGTGGCCACTGGTACACAGCTGACCGTATCAGCAGAGCCACTGATGGGGGAGGTGGAGGGAAAGGGCAGCTGTCCCAGGGCCTGGCGATTTAAAGGGCCCAGGGCTCCCGGCTGCTGCCACTGCATCTGTAGCCGGAGCCCCGGGCCTTTTAAATCACTGCTGAAGCCCTGGGCAGTGCAGCCCAGATAGCGCTGAAGGGCTGGCTGGGGGATTTTGGCCCCAGCCCTGGCCCTTCCGCCCAAGCCCCACCGCTTCCAGGGGCCCAGAGCCACTCCCCCACCTTGCCCAGGACCCCAGCCGCTCTGCGTACCGGTAAGTCATTAAAGGTACTTTCACCCCTGAGGATAGGTCATTGACGCAGACTGCTTGCATTTTAATCTGGCTAAATGTTAATACATACATCAAGTACAGATCCTTGGGGGACCCTGTTATTTACCTCTCTCCATCATTTTTACTGCAAATATTTTCTACATTGACTGATAAAATGTTTCTAAATTTGTTACTTTCCCTCCAAAAAACCCTCCTTTCCAGCTGATCACAATGAGGAAACTGGCATGTGACATACACTGCTGAGGGGATCAGCAGAAGTACAAACATACAATCAGACATAGAGATGAAGGACACAAGATGAATTGGGATTTTGTTTCCTTTAGAGAGTTTTGAGGATTTGTTGTTGTGGAATCTGTATTTGGAGCACATGAAAGGTGCCCTTCTATCAATGGGGTAACCTAGATACATGACATAAAGAATAGCAGAGAAAGTAGACCTCATAGAAAAATCTCTGTTCCAGTATTGAGCAGGTACTTAAGGAATGACAATTCCATTCAAAGTCCCCTTAACATCTTATTACAAGCTTGTCAAGACTATGCCTTTTTTGTGCCTTATACAATGCTAAGAATGTTGGTTCCAATGCAGCAAAACAGTAGTTTTATGCTTAAATTTAAGAATTGACTTCAGTGGGACGAAAGTAGATGCTCAAATCTAACCCCGTGCTTGTTTGCTTTTCTGAATCGGGTTCATTATCAACATTATAGCAAATAAATAAAAATACAAGATTGATTCTGAGGACACACTGAGTACACCAAGTTAGGTGAAATGCATTAATTACAGGAAAATATTTGACTTTCATTATATTTGATTTTCATTTCAAAGTTTCTAATTTTAAAAGACTGAAAAAATCCAATGAATCACACATCTAAGTCAGTTCTGGCCTACCCAACACACTTCAAAAGTGGTAAAGCATTTTAATACCCTTAGTCTCAGGCTTTCATTATCAACAATTCAATAGTCAATCAATACAACAGTCATTATTAAAAATGAGTTTTAGACGTGTCACAATTCATTGAGATGGGCTCAGATGGCAAATCTGAGCTACCTGGCACATAAGCAGGTGTTTCAAAGGATCTTGGGTAATACAATACTAACCTAACATATGGGTATAGTGTTTAGTTACTTTACAATGACACAGACAATGCAAGAAACTTGGCACAAATTTGATAATGCATAACAAGCTACTTAAACTCTATGTTACACAAGATAGAAAAATGATCTGCTATTACAAAGTAACCATGTGTGTCTCTACTGACATGAAGAGATCCTCAGAAAGACTGACACTAAACTTACCCTTGTATTGAAACTACTCTGACTGTGCTTTATTTTTCAACCAAATTTGAAGTTTAGTGGGATAACTGCTAGTCCTTCAAAAGGAATAGGAAATCCTTATTTTTCTACCAAATCACCCATCGGCTATCAGCAATTTATAAATTCATAGTTATCTGTCTATAATTGCACTGGTCCTGTACTTTCCCTTAGCTGTTAGCATTCTCTTTCCACAAACTCCTTTGGAGGTCAACTTAGCTTCAACTCTGATTTTCTTCAGTGGAAGGTAACACATTTTGCAGCAGCATTAAACAGGTATTTTGGAGACGAACTTCCACAATTTGAGAAGAGACATATTTTGCTACCCGGGATTAATATTTTACCCACTGAAATATTCTGAGCTTCTATACCATGAGTTGATCAACTGCAATTACTTTATTCCACCCGGTGCTAATCACATAATAAGGGGACTCAAAAGAGCTTTTCTGAGGAAAAGTGATTAAAAGAATCACAGAGTACAAAATAATTAATGCAAATGTGATTGCTTTTGAAAACAATTGCATCTTTAACCTGCACTGTGTATATTGCATATGTCTACACAGCGTCTAGCAAAATGAGGTCCCCATCAATACTGGGGGCTCTAGAGGCTAAATGCTACTACTCATAATAATAATAACCTCTGCTCCATGCACAGAACTCCCATTCTTGTAAGTGGGAGTTTCAATAGAACCGAAATTTACTCAGTAGATAAGAGAACCACACTGTGGATAAGATTTGTGGATTGATGCAGGGAAATTTGCATAACACTTTCCCCTTTTCTTTTATGTACCCATTAACCATTCTGGAGGCACTGAGTAGTTAAATCTACACCAAACTGAAAGATAACAAGGGTGAATTTAGACAGATGGTATTAGGATTTCAGTTCATTTCTGTTCACAGCTTTGTGAAACTTACTGTTTTCTAAGCCACCATATATTGCTCACCAGTGATATGGAGCAGCTTGCCTTCTGGAACAGAAATTGTAATTTAAACACATGATGCTGCAGCACAACAAGGAAAAGCTTTGAACTAAATTTCTGAGAGTTGAGAAACAATCATCTTGCAGGATTTCCCTGAGCTATCTTATTAACAGAATGTTTGTTCCAAGCATTTGACAAACGTTGTGCAGCACTCACCTTAGTGGCAGTAAGAATGCTGTAAACACGTGTTAAAAATGTAGCCTACGTATTTAGAAAACCTCATTTTAGACATTGTCATTGTGATGGGTAAACCTTAAAAAAAAATGTCAGAGATCCTGCTTGAATAAGCACCCAAAAGTTTGGATGCCCAATCATGTGCATCTGAACCATTACTCCAGACCAGAGCTCTTTTTTAACAGCCAAAAAACCAAAACCAAACAAAAACCAAAACCATATATATTTACATCAACACATACCAGTCTGCGAATTTCTCTTTCACACTCTCTCTTGATCCTGCTGATTTCCTCTTGGTGTAAGTGATACACACTCCTTATCTCTGCTGCTTTAATTTTGTCAGCTTGAATGACCAAAGTTAAGGCTTCCTCCACTTGTCTCTTAGCCCCCTTAAGTTCTGAAATTTCTTGCTGCATTTTTATTTTCTCAGATTCAAACCCTTTCTTGGCCTCCTCTTTTGCTTCGGTGAAAAGGACTGTTTTAACCTTATCAGGAGCTCCATCTCGTACAGCATTAAGAAGGCCCTGTAATCTCTGGTTTTCATTATCTTTAATCTTTATGACTCTAAGAAGCTCAGATTCATGCTGTCTCAAAAGTGCTTCTCGAACAGCCTGGAGCTCCTTCATTTTCTCTTCATGAAGTTTGGCCTTAAGTTCCGTTACTAACACTGTGTTTTTATGCTGCTCGTGCTCTTTGATCTGTTTAACTTCCTGGTTTTTCTCTCTTTCCAACTTGCTGATCTAAAAAGAGAATAAAAAAAGATACAGGTTTTTGCAAACAAAATAATTCATTTAGTGGGAATCTCTGTATTGTGGGGCAACATATAATGGGAGTTGTCATTTCATAATTTTGTAACAGAGTTCTATAATTGTTTATTAGCTCAAAACACAAACCTACTGCAGTGTGCTCTATCATACACAGAATTAGACTTTATTTGGTATTTGGTTCATATTTTATGAGCCATCGCTCTATTATGTGGTGAATGTTCCTTTCTCCAATGATTCCAGATGAAAATCAGATCACTGAACTCAGGCACTTAACTCCTTTGCTGTCCAGAAGAAATATCCACTGGTTTACTATAGACTTCACTGCACCAAACACCTTTATGCAAGAAATAGCCTTAAAATGAGGGAATACTATATATTTAGAATCGTTAGACACAAGCTGATTGTTCATAAAGCTAAACAAAATCTACACTACAATATTTTCCTGGGGAGGAAAAGGCTTTTTCAAAATTTTAAGAAAATGTTTTATTTCAATGTCATAAACTTTGGTTAAAAATATAGCTGACCCTTTTAAGGAGTTTTAAGAGCTTATTGCAACCAAACCAAGTTTTGAAATTCAGATAGATGACTTAGTCAGTGGGACTCTCAGCTAATAATAGTCAATTCAATTTTGCAACATAAACACTTCTTTGTGAACACTTCAAGTCAGTACTGCATAGACCCATTATCTCATGCAGCTGATCAAGAAGCCCAGATAACTGTCTGCTTTGTAATTCCTATATATTCAGCTAACACCATCATCACAATCAGTTGTGATTAGGAATATGACCCCTAAAACATGACCAGTACTTTCTAATGGGGTTGGGCGTTACACTGAAAGTAAGCACTGGCTTAAAACCTCATTCCTTTCATTCTTCCCTTCTCTTGCGTTTCTGCTAATGTGCTATTGAGTTGTTTGTCTGAGTGTGTGCACATGCCCGCATGCACACAGGCTACTGATGGGTGAACCTCATGGTTTAGAGGTTCAATTTGGATCAGGAATCTAAAAATCTGAATCTTATTTAAATTATCCAAACATCTTTAGTCTTCAAAATTGGGCTGGAAACATGCAAACAGCCTTTCTTGTATGATCTTGGCATTTTCACTACTGGTCCCAGCTGGAACCAAGAACAGAAAACCAAATATATACCTAAAAAATAGCCAATTTCTTTAAAAATTAAGTTAAATTTGGTTTCTTGTTCAAGTTTTGGGTCAATATTTGGAATGGTTCTGATTCATGAACTCAACCTCCATAATCTTACCCTTGGTGAAAGTCAATGGAAGCTGCACAGTTAAAATTAACCACAAATCTTTGAAAGGGCATCCACTATTTTTCAACGATACGAAAACTCCAGGTTGCTGACTACTTTTGCTCATTTAAAATTCTTGACAGGTGTGACTTAAGCTGGTTGGAAAACACTTTTTTTTCTTTTTTCTTTTACTTTTTGTCGAAAACCTGAAAACTGAAGAGTTGGGATGGAACTGAAAGTTTCCATCAGGAAACACGTTATTTCAGGTCAGGTTGACCCAAGTCAAAATATTTCAGTATGTGAAACTGAATCAAAACATTTCAATTTGGGTCAGTTTGACATTAAACTGTGTTCACCTGCACTGCAGAGGTGCCTCATGGGAGTTTTAGTTCATGCCCCTTGTGATGAAACCGGGGCTATGTCTGTACAATTTATGCATTCTGATTGAGATTATGAAGTTGTATTATGAAAATCTGCTGTGTCATGAGTGCCTATATGTATGTGGGTCCACTACTGCTGACAAGTTCTATAGTGTGTATGCCCCAGACAGATTCAATGGAAGGTGCTTGAGACTTATTGAACATATTCAGGTTCACACATCTTGGACAATGGATGACTTGCATCCGTAGAAAAAATAGTTTAGCTGATTCCCCTGAGGGAGTGGGGAAGGTAGAAGCAGTGGAAAGTTACCAGGAGGAGAACAAAAGACGCCCGGTAACCAGGATAGGTTTAAAATAAAGAAACACACTGGGATAGGGGGACAAACAAAGAGGAAGCCTGGGTCAGGAGAAAGCAAAGTCACAGAAGCTGGGAAGGGGCTCCAGGAGGGAGAGAGACCATCTAGCATGCATAAGCCTGCATGAGGAGGGGACATCTTGCCCGCCTGCCTGTCTTCCCAGACCCTGATAGTTCACCCAAGGGCTCCCAGGAAAAGGGAGAGATAGAAAGTAAAAGACATTTGGGTTTCAGATGTTTATTGTTTTGTATGATCTGTACTCTCCTGTGCTTTACACAATAAAGTAACGAAGAGCATAAAGGGGTTAGACTCTAAGCAAAGCGTTTCTCTGTATGTTACCTATTTCACAACTGCTGTGTGTCCTTGATAGAGTTAAAACTAAACCAGAAGTTTCACACTTTTGTGGTAAATTTCTGGGAAAGGGGTGTGTTTAAGTAACTGAGGTATCTCAGAGGTCAGTATTGGTCCTGGGCCTAGGACAGGTGGGCTGAGGAGCCCCATTTCATAGAAGGAATAGCAAACTGGGATTCAGTGCCTAGGAAATGTGCCAGAGAGGCCAATGGAAAGAAGCAGGGCTGAAGCCTGTTGAGGTTCTAGAAGCTTAACACACTTCAGGAGATCCTTAGCCCAGAGGCTTGGATTCCCCTTACAGCAGTCCTAGTGGGTGACCGGGAGGGGAGTGGGGGAGTGCTCTCCAGGATCTTTGGCTCCTTATTCTCCTCTATGGACTGTGCTTCTTGGCTGGTCAACATCCCCCATGATATACCACAGCCTCTAGCTGACTTGTCACAGTACATCATGGGAGTTATATGGCTGTGGTGCATCATGTGAGATGTAGTATGAGTGGGGAGCCAGGCCTATAGCGGAGAACACACACATGAGACATGTGAACTACAAATCCCATTACACTCTCCCAGAAGCTTAGGAGAATAGGTTTAATGTTGAATAGACCTGAAGCAAAACATTAATTCAGAAATGTCAAAACATGCCAACATTCCTGAACTGAAAAGTTTGTGGGTTTGGCCAAAAATATGCAGCGAAAAACTGAAAACTTTTTGGGTTTTGGGTGTTTGGTTTTTCATCAAAAAGTCTAAATTTTCTCAGAAAGCAAATACTTTTAGCAAAAAAAAGAAATGCATTTTATCAAAAATCCAATATTCTGTCAAAAACAATTTGCATGGACATTTTCAAATATCATTAGTGTGTGTGGGTCGGGAGAGGCTAAACTTGGTGTTGCAGTGAAATTCAAACTTAATATAATTAAAATACTATCTAAATTTCCTTCATGGTTTGGATACAGTATTTTTCACCTCCAGTCCTAACATGTTGTGTAGTCTTGTAATGGACTACTGAACAGCTCAGTATCCATTTGAGATTTAGCTCCCTTTCACTAGTTGCTGACTGTGACAGACTGACAGTATCCTGATATATCCTGAACAAACCTTATTGAATTAAGAATAAACTTAATTCTATAAAGTTAAACCATGTTGAATTGGGTTTGGTGCCTCTGGGGTCCATTGCACTTAAAATGTAATTCTTTGTGTGTTACTGTAGGGTTGTATGTAACTTTTCTAGGGACTTGACTAATGTAAATGTTAGGAACTTCAATGGACTTTTTAGGGACAATGCATGAAAAGGAAATACCTTGGGAGTGAGGGAAATGCAAATGACCCCTTTGAATCCACCCTTTTGAACCTATGCCCTGGAGCAGAAAAACCTGTTGTCTATTAATTACCTGCTCCTAGAAACTCCAGATCAAAGACCCCTGAACTGTATAAAGGATGGACTAAACATGTTATGAATGTGCTTGTTCTAAGCCAAAGCTGTGATGAACTTGTGACCACAAAGAAAAGCCCATGGATGGGTGCTGAAGGACTGGTCCTGCCAGAGCCCACGTTAGAGTTGGGATGCTGTCTGGTAAGTTTCGTAGCATGTATGTTAGTTCTCTTATTCATTGTTTTAAATATGTTTTGTCTTTAGTGCTTTTACCTTAAGATGAAGTAGCCTTGCATAAGAAATTCTGTGTGGATAACTTATACCTGTTGACAATCACTCTGTTAGGGCTTGTCTACACTACCACTTTTGTCGGTATAACTTATGTCACTCTGGGGTGTGAAAAAACCCTGAGTGACATAAATTACACCAACAGAAGCGCCAGTGTAGACAGCACTATGTCGGCAGGAGAGCTTCTCCCACCTACATAGCTACCGCCGCTCATGGAAGTGGTTTTACAAGTCACTGAGCGAGCTTTCTCCCATCAGCATAGAGTGGCTACGTGAGAGATCTTACAGCAGTGCAGCTGCATTGGTACAGCTATGCTGATGTAAACTCGCTAGTGTAGACAAGCCCCCTGTCTCTGAAGAGGAAGCAAGCAGGTGTGCTGGGCAGCCTCTCTCTGCTGGGAACAACACACTGAAGGCAAGGAACTGTACAGCCTGGAAATACCCCAGTCAAAAAGGAGTGAGGCTTAGGTCTCTACTCAAGAAAGGCAACAGCTGGGGAGCTGAAAGCCTAGGAGAGCGTGCCCTTGCTGGACCACTTAGGGGAAACACAGGGGCAGTTGCCCTGAACCGTGACACAGACATGTTAGCGTTTGTTAAACACTTTAAATAATAGGATTTGTAGAAGAGCAAAGTATTATTATCATCCTCTATATTGTGATGCTTTTACAAGGAGAAAGATCCCAAGAAAAACAACATGAACTTCTTGCACTGTGAATTTCTCCACAACTATTCTAATGATTTTTTTGTTTTTCAGCTGTGATGTCAGTGGGTATAAAAAAGAACAAATAAGAGGAAATGTCATAATCATATCTTAATTCCTTAGAAAATGCATTCCAACCAGTATTGAGAAAGGAGTGCCTTTTCTCAAACTTGCTGCTACAGAACAGAAATGATATCTGATGCACATTATGATGTTAAAGATTTGCTGAGGTCTTCGTGCTAATTCAAAATTTTAAAGAGCAATATTTCATCCTTAGAAGTATGAAC